AAATTGACCAAAATACTACTTATGTAATAAACTTACGTAGGGTGTCCTCGAGAAACACTTTCCTAAATTCTTTGGCACCCTAACATAAGTTCAAATGACAACGAAAATGATTATTTCAAAAGCCAAACATAGAGACCATGCTTGATATGATCAAATCGTATCAAGATAGATCCAAATAACTATCCAATATCTGAATTTCAAAAAATTCAACTATGAGTTGAAATTTCAAAAATAATAAAAAGTATTTGGAAAATTCAACTGAGTTAAAATTTTCAAAGATACAAAATTGTATTTGGGTGCTATCCTGGACGCTCCATGCCCTCTCTCACTCTTCTCTAGTAAAGCCTACTTCTCCTTCTTCCTTCCTCTGCAATGCCAAGCTCTCTCGAACCGAGTTTCTAAACTAGCCGAGCTCTTCCTCATCTAATCTAGCCGAGTTCTTCCTCTACAAAATACTATCCTAGTATTTCTATGAACTAATAAATATTACAAACCTCAAATTGTAGCTCCTAAAGAATACCATCAAAATGAATTGATCTAGAGAGAGACAAACATAAACTGGTAGCGCCTAAAGAGTACCATTAAAATTTGCATAGACTAATTAGCTCCTAAAGAATACCATCAAAATTTACCATTAAAATTGACATAGAATAATTCTATGAACTGATAAAAATTAAAAACCCTAAACTGGTAACTCTTAAAGAATACCATCGACATTAATAGAGAGAATAGCTAGAGAGAATAGAGAATTGATCCATAGAGAGACGGTAGAGCATTGATCCAGAGAGAGACCATTCTAAGAAGAGGGAATGATAAAAATTAGAAACCCTAAACTGGTCGCTCCTAAAGAATACCATCAAAACTTATCAAGAGCATAGTGAAAGAGATAATAAAGAATTAATTCAATGAGAGAGACGGTTCCAAGAAGAGGGAATGATAAAAATTAGACTCCTTAAATTGGTAGCTCCTAAAGAATACCATCAAAATTGACAGAGAGCATAGCGAGAGGGAAAATAGAGTAAAAAATACGTGGATAGGAATTTAAAAAATAAAATCAAAACATATATATATATATATATATATATATATATATATATATGGGAAAGGTTTCTATACTTCCCCTACATCATAGAAGATATATACTTCTCCCATTTAGCTGTCTAGTTTAGATCAAGTGAGCCACTGACCATTTGATCTAGAATCGATGCCTCAGAGTATTTTATTTTTTATTTTTTTACAAATTGTATGAATATGAAATTTGGTACGTGTCATCTTCTCAATAGGTTGCACCTAAAAAATATATATTAAAAAGAATTTGTTGATGAAACATAATGACCAAAATACCCCTTGAATTTTTTTTGGGTATTTTGGTCATTTTATTTTATTGGGGATATTTTTTTATACTTTTTACAAGTGCAAGTTTAAGTGAAGATTAGACGCCCAAAATATGATGTCTAAATATTTTATATAAAAAATTTAAAAATAAAATATTGCAGAGACGTGGCATTGTAATTGGGGCCATCTCAGTCGTCTATTCATAATGGACGGTTGGATAGGGAAAGTATATCTACTGCTACATTGTTAAACAAAAGTTAAAGGGGTGGACAAGTAAAAAAAAAAAAAAAAAATTATGCCTAGAGATAATATATGGCAAGTGACTTTAAATAGGTGTTAAGGGTGGGCATTATATGAAAAAATCGAGATCTCAGATATAAAAAAAAAAAACAAAGGTTAAATATCCTTGTCATCCTAGACAGTTTTCCTCACACCATTGAGTCTCTTTGCCAACCAAAAAACAATCGCAAACCAATCGTTACTATTTTGTAAAAAGCACATTTGAGAGAGGGGGAGGGAGAGAGAAAATAATAAATAACGTTTTTTAAAATTCGAACACCCCATAACCACTACCAAATAAACATTAGAAGCGTAATATCAACATTATTTTCTTTCCTTCATTTTCTATTTCATCATTATCTCTACGCTCACTCAGCCTCACCAAGCTCTCTCTTATATCATTTATTTCCCAACATCTCTCTCGTTCTTTATTAATAACAATTTCCATTCACACTCTCTGAAAACCTAAAGTTTTTTCTACCAATTACAATTTTCATCCTACTCACTTTTCCTCTCGCACTCTCTGAAAGCCTAATTGACCATGGGGAAAAATTGAAGGGACAAAGGTACTCTTTTATCCCTTTCTTTTCTGTCGGTATTTCTAATACTAATTTTTTATTCCTTAGTTATATCATAATCGTTAGGTTTTATATTCATTGTTGTTTTAATTGTCTGATTCTTTATTTGTTTATTTTAAAGTTTATATTTTTTACAGTATAAAAATGACAACTTTTACAAAAAAAAAAGAAAAAAAGAANAAGAAGAAGAATAATATATATATATATATTATATATATATATATATATATATATATATAATAATATATATATATATATATATATATATATAATAATA